ATCACACACACACTCACACACACTCACACACGCACACAGAATGTATGTGAGTATATATTATATATATATATATGATAATTAGTCAATATAATGCATGGCTCGGAATGACTCATACATTTTGTCATTGATTTCTTCTACACGGCATAAAACTGCATGCAATCCATGATACATGTATGTTGTTGTTGTTGCTGCTGCTGTTGTTGTTGCTGCTGTTGTTGTTGTTGGCTGTTTTAATTGGTTTCAATTAGTTTTGTTGCATTTTTTATTTAACAATTATTATTTTTATTTAAGTTAATATATATGGTTTGTTTAGCACTTTCTATTTTGATACGTTTGCTTATAATTATTAAGTAAGTTGTTTGGAATCTGGTATATAAATGTGGCTGGATATATAGATCAATTCCAACAAACTAAAACGCGCATATATATGTACGTACGTACGCAAACATACACACACACACACACACACATACACACGTACATGCCTGCATACAAAAATTAGAGAAATGAACTTGATGTAACATGTAACAGAGGAAGAGCTTGCAATAACAACATTATTGATTTTCTCTTTCCTTTTTTTCCTTCTCTCTCTCTCTCTCTCTCTCTCTCTTCAATGTTTTTATCGATCTATCTTACCATCCATCATTCCATCTATACATCTGTCTTTCAAATAGCATATGAGAATGCGGTCACATTGTTATCATATTATATGTACGTATGTATGTTTGTGTGTGAGTGTGGGTGTGCGTGTGTGTGTTTCTATGCATGTGTGCGTGTGAGTGTGTGTGTACTTTATTATTCAAATTAGCCAAGAAACTAATGTTTCATTCATATCAAATTATTGATTGACGTTTTTTATAACTTCGATATTTTTATCAAATGGTCGAAATATATAAAAAGAAGTTAAAAAAAAAAAATTTCATTTTGTACCATGGATGGATCTTGATGGATCACATATTTATCTTTTTACTAAACTTGAAAAAAATATTCAAGGAACATTAGCTGCAAGATGGCGTAATTGATAAAGATGTCTGAGTCCAAGCTGAAGTGTCTGGGTTCGACCCCGACCTATTATTATTTCTTGCAATGTAGGTTACATTTATACTACGTGTACGTGTATTCACGGGAAAAATAATTTCCACCAGTTTTACTTTTTTAAAAAAAATATTTTTGTAGCATAAATATTGATTGACGTAAATTGAATTCTATGGCGTTATCCAAGATATATCTAAGGTTTGATTCATTGTCTTATTTACATATATACATTATTCATGATAATAAAATACACTCTCACTCTCTCTCTCTCTCTCTCTCTCACACACACACGCACATACGCACACACACACGCACAGACACACACACACGCATACACACACAACAACAACACGTAACAGTACAAAGCACAATTAATTCGCAGAAATTAAAAAATATATAGTGATCAAGATGATAATGATGAAAATAAATAAATATTTTTTTATAAATGAAATTTCATAAATAAAATTGGCGGGAATCAATCAGATTAGAAGCAAAGATATGAAAATGAAATATGAATCCTGTTTTGTCTTTGCTCTATTTGGGTCAAATGAAACATAAAAAATGTAATCTAAGGGAGAGCATGACAGAGATTGGAGAAAGAGAAAAGGAAATGTAAAATAGAGGGTAAGTGAGAGATCGAAGAAGAAAGTAAATGAATGAGTAGTGCTAAGATAAAAGAATAGAGAGAAAGAGAAAGAAAAAAGGAGAAAATAGAGAAAAAAATGAAATGAAAAAAAATAAAAAGAAAATAAAAACCAAAAGTTGAGTACCATATCAAAATTGGAAATGTATTGAGAGATAGAAGATAAAAGATAGGGGAGGAACCTGACATTAAAAATATAAAGAATGAATAAAAAAGAAATAAAAAACAAAAGAAAGAAAGATAAAAGAAGAGATAGTGAAGAAAAGAGAGAGAAAAAGAGCAAGAAGAGATAGTGAGTAAGTTTCGCGTAATATTTTACGCAAGGATTTAATGCTTATTACTTTTCTCCGCGTCCGTGTGAGGCGCGCAAATTTTTTTTTTGACGAAGTTCGCAATCATCATTAGCGTTCATTATTTCTATACTCACCATCACTTTTATCATCATTCTATTATCAGTATTATCATCATCATTTTATTATTGTTATTGTTGTTGTTATTATTATTATTAATGTTATTATTATTATTATTGTTATTCTATAACTATGTAAGGTAGTACTACATAATTTGTGCGATAGAATATGTACGTTTTCAAATAATGCATGATGATGACGACGATGATGATGATGATGACGACGATGATGATGATGATGATGATGATGACGATGATGATGATGATGACGACGACGACGACGATGATGATGATGATGATGATGATGAGGATGACGATGATGATGACGACGACGATGATGATGATGATGACGACGATGATGATGATGACGACGATGATGATGATGATGATGAGGGTGATAGTTATGATAAGATGTTATATATTGATATATCACCTCATATATCACATAATTTCATTAATTTCATATCTTTTTGGATCATTTTATATAACTTCGTATCATTCTATATCATATGAATTCACATAACTTTTACATAATTTCATATAATTACTCATAAATTTTATATATTTACATAAAATTCTCATATCATTTTACATTATTCTTTATCACAGTGTGGTATCGCTTTTTAAACAGGCATACATACTTACACACATACATACATACCATACATACATACATACAACATACAAGCATACATAAATAAATACATACATACATACATACATACATACACACACATACATACATACATACATACATACATACATACATACATACATACATACATACATACATACATACATACATACATACATACATACATACATACATACATACATACATACATACACACACATACATACATACATACATACATACATAAATACATACATACAAACATAACGATATAGAAAGATTGCCCACAAGATCTTCGTTTATATGCACGCTGGTATCATTATTACCCCTGCCGTCGTTGTCGTTACCATCCACAACCACACTATCATCATCATCGTTGTAATTGTTGTTGTTATCATTACTACAATCATCATTGTCGTTGTAGCTGCTCTATAACCATCATCATCGTCGTCGTCGTCGTTATCATCACCAAATAAGCCAACAATAACAGAAATGGTGTTGTTAAGCGCGACAACATCAAGACATTTGCGACAAAAATTTTTGCGGCAGCGACTGTAGCAGCAACAGTAGCAGCAAAACCACCTCGACAACAACAACAACATGTACAACAGCACTTCTATCAATTCGTACAGCAGGATAAGAAACAACAACATCTTAGTTGTCCTCTTTCCATAACGCACAATTGCCATAGATCACGTCATCCTACAACTTACACGTAAACGCTCACACACGCACATTAAAACGCACATACACACACACACACATCCATTTTCACTCTCTCTCTCATTTTCTCTCTCTCTCACACAAAGATACACGTACATACACATGCACGTACACACAAGCACACACCTATGAATACTCATACGATTACAAAAACGCACATAATACACACATATACAGTTTTTTTTTATATAAACAGATTCACGTGCAAATATAAATGGCACACACACATACGCTTAAATACATGTACACACCAATATGCACGAACATTGGATGGCAAGTCTGACCTTTTAATATTCTACTTAAAAAAATTGATTACTTTTACTTCTCTCAGAAAAATTTTGAAGCGAAATTTTGAAATAAAAAATTTGTTTCAAATAAAAGAAATTTGGTTCGTTGTAGCAATGACATAGTTAGAAAATTTTGTTATCAGTAATGATTACGACACCTGCATTTAGATAAAATACATACACGTACACACACATATCTACACGCACACACTTATCCACACGTACAAACAAGTATTATAGTCATATTAAAAACAATGAAGAGACGACGATAGGAAACTGTTAATGGCTATATATAGTAATGATAAAGATGACGATGATGATGAAGATGATGACGATGATGATGAAGATGATGACGATGATGATGAAGATGATGACGATGATGATGAAGATGATGATGATGAGGACTTAAAAAAACAATCACGAAAACTCAGATGAAAAGAGTGACAACAAGCCAACCAATAAAATGTGTGATTAACTGCTTTTGACGTCAATTACGCCAGTGACGTAACGCTGGTCGTGGGTTTATTGGAAAAGTTGGACACACACACACTCACTCACACACACACTCACTCACACACACACACTCACTCACACACTCACTCACACACAACACACATACACTCACACACACACCACACACTACACACACACACACATTCACACACACACGCAATTTTTTTTAATTCGTTATGTTTTTCATTTCATAATAATGTTTAAGTTAGAATAACGAATAATTTTTAAAAAGAAAAGCATAATTGCAAAAATAACAAAGTCGATATGAAGAAAAAAATTTGAAATAAATTTTGATAAAATAATTTTATAATAAAATAATAGTAAATAATAAAAATACTAAAAATAAGCGAGAAACCGGAAGAAGTGATGTCCAATCTTCGCACCAACATCACATCCGGTGTGAATTATTTGAAGCGGAGATTCAGTTCGGATGATTTATACAACGAAACAACAACACCACCACCAACAACAACAACAGCAACAACTCACCAGAACAGCATCATCAACAACAACAACGGTTTCAACATCGTCAACATCAACAGCATCAACAACAGCCCAATTTCATTTTCGTCCATTCGGTCAAAATTTTCACTTCCGTCATCTTCCAACTTTCCCTCGCTAACGAGCGTCCAAGAGAGGACGAAGGAAATTTGGTCGCAGGCCACTAATGTAGTTAGCGGTGGTAGTAACGTCGGTGGTGGTAGTAGAGGCGGTAGTAGAAGTAGCAGCGGCGTTTGCATCGACGATTCTTATTACGATAAAGACAACTATAAGTGCGTTCTTGTTATAGACGACCGCCACACAGACTGGTTTGTTGTTTGTTTGTTGTTAGTTTGTTTTGTTTGTTGTTGTTGTTGTTATATGTTTTCATCTAACCATCAAGAGATAAGTAGCGTTTCTAGGAAATTTAATGCAAAAAGTTTATCGATTTTTGAAAAAATTCTTTTGCCGGTTGATCGTCTTCTCGTTTTCAAAAAATAAAAAAAATTTTGATGGAATTTTTCTTGTAGGATGTGTAGGATATTTTTTTTATTTTCTTCATTTTAAATAAAAATAATTTTCACATTTTCAAAACTTGAAACCAAATATATAACAATTTTTGTAGCACGAAAAAACACTGAAACTTGCCACATATAAGCTAAATTATGAAAAACAAACCTCAATGACAACCAACCGTAACAGGCGAAAGTACTTCAGAAAACTGAAAGTATTTGGCAGGATGGACATCAGAGTTGAACAAGTAGGTGTTGATCTATATAAGTCTGTATTTGATCTAGTTTTTTTTTAATAAAAAATACCCTAATTATTTATCTCAAAAGCCTAAGAGCTTTCGTTACTATTTACCAAAAATGAGAAACAATATTGTACTTCACTATTATATTGTTCTGTTTTTTATTATTGTGTATAGTATTGTTGTTTTGTATTGTATGTATGACCGGTCGGCTTCTAAGGTTTTTTGGCACGTGGGTCTCTCTCTCTACCCTTCAAGTAGTTGAAAAATTTAATTAAAAAATACATTAAAGCTATGAAAAAAATCAGTTACAAATTTTAAAATGTGACCATAATGAGTTAACATTCGTTACCGCAAAGATGATTAAATCACCTCACCAAACACAAGCATCCAGCCATCGGAGTACAAAAATATATCCTCGTGCAATCTTCTCTTTTTGCCATCATAACAATTGGCCCCCGTTCATTGGGAGTATTTTCAGCTGCGTCAACAACAAAATTATTTTCTTCATTTTGGAGGAAAGTTTCAACTCTGTACTCACCTGTTATATAATTAATTGGTTTGTGATGACAGTTTCCTAATTATTTTAATTATTTACATAAAAAATTTTATTCTGAAGCAGGTTCAAACGCCATGTGACACTCATCTCATGATAAGAAGAGTCGGCAAAATGGCAGTTTTTGTATTTAAAATTGTGTGCGTTATATAAATGACGGAATACTGATATTATTGCTAAAAAGAAATAAACAGCCTGCAAACATCAACAAAGCCAAAACTTCAACAAAGACAGATGATCCAAGCAACATTTTTTTTGTTGAATACTTCTTTATCTGAGCTTCACTTTCTTTTCGAATGTTAAACTGCCGTGTGTTGTCTGTACTATTTTGTAAAATTTTTTAATTACGCGCGCGCGCACACACACGCACGCACACACATACATAAATACACACGCACACACACATACATACATACATACATGTATCGGTTGCATGCAAACAATCATCGACAAATTATGATCGGTTAAATTAGCTGTCATCGAGACATTAATTTATATTCGAAAGAAAAAGGAGACTTTCAACCCATTTTTCAAATTCAAAATTTAAACAATTTAAACACAAACATACACACATGTACACAAACATACATACATACATACATACATACATACGCATACAAACAAACACATAGGCAAGCAAACATACATACAAACACATACAAGCAAACAAACGATACGAACGATTATATTATTAGTATTTGAATCGAAAAAATATTCCCAATGCTTTGTAGAATAATTATTAATTTTATTATTATTATTATAATCCTTATTATTTATAAAAAAAATAATATTTTATCATTCAATTTTCTCTCATTTCATGACTCATGCAACGACTCGGCTCTAGGCAGAATTCAGGGAACTGAACCTGACGTCATTCGCTGGCGAAGGGATGGTCGTGGAAATCAAAGAAAATCAACACACACCTCCCAAACAACAACATCAGCAGCAGCAACAACAACAACAACATCAACAACAACAACAACAAAGTAACAAAGGACCAACTATTCCGTGAGTAAGCACCCGTACGTTTCTCGTTAATTTAAATGAATCACCTCCCGACTGATTTTAGGTTCACTACCGAACGATTCATTCATCATTCATGTTTATTATTATTATTATTATTATTATTATATATGTGTTTTAAGTTCTTCGACAATTCATTTGTTTGCCAACCTTATCTTTCTTCTAAATTAAATTTGAATTCCAAATCGTTACACTAATTCAATTTATTGATTGAGCGTTCATTAAATTGATTGGCGTTTGTGAGCACGGAACACATCTTAATAATAAAATTTATGCTATTTTATATTTCCAGCTTCAACATGTATAAGGCTTTTATATACGTGCTCACACAGATACACACGCATATACACACACACAAACACACATACACACATACACATACACACACACACACATATGTGCACAAAATACGAGTGATGTACACACAGATCCTAATTTATAGACTCCGAGAGTACACAATAGATCTCAAAATTGGCATTGTTTGCCTTTATTGAAACTAATCATCTACTCCATTAGTAAGGTCAAATCCCTAGTGATTATCACATTTGTCATCACTCTCGTGAGTGAGTGAGTGAGTGAGGAGTGAGTGAGTGAGTGAGTGAGTGAGTGAGTGAGGAGTGAGTGAGGAGTGAGTGAGTGAGTGAGTGAGTGAGTGAGTGAGTGAGTGAGTGAGTGAGTGAGTGAGTGAGTGAGTGAGTGAGTGAGTGAGTGAGTGAGTGAGTGAGTGAGTGAGTGAGTGAGTGAGTGAGTGAGTGAGTGAGTGAGTGAGTGAGTGAGTGAGTGAGTGAGTGAGTGAGTGAGTGAGTGAGTGAGTGAGTGAGTGAGTGAGTGAGTGAGTGAGTGAGTGAGTGAGTGAGTGAGTGAGTGAGTGAGTGAGTGAGTGAGTGAGTGAGTGAGTGAGTGAGTGAGTGAGTGAGTGAGTGAGTGAGTGAGTGAGTGAGTGAGTGAATAGTGTGGTAATACTTGTGTTGCAAGTTTGGGTAATGTCATTAATGCCATCCTCTACATCGCAATCATCTTTTTCATCTTCATCATTCTTAATCATTCACTCATCATCTCCTCAACTTCATCATCAGATCCAGACTGTTCCAACCGGATATAATCCTGGTGAGACAGCATGCACGGAACGCCACGGAGAACTGGAGTCAACTGTTGATAGGATTGATGCATGGAGGCGTGCCATCTGTCAATCAATTGCACTCTCTCTATAATTTCATGGATAAACCATGGGTGGTCTGTAATTTTTTTCTATTTTGTGTATTTTTTTGGTATTTTTTTAATTTAGTTTGTATTTTTTATAGGTATAATCAACAAAAAAGGCACATAGCGTTATATAAAAACACACGAGCCAACGCATCAACTGCATGTGAGAGATAGGTTGGAGTCTTCTTGCGTTCGAATCCGGTTACTGTAACAGCTGTTCCAGATGGGTTACAGTACATATGGTGTTTATGGGTATTAGCTTTTGTCAATTTTATCAGTTTTGAGATGTTTTCAACGTTTCTTACATCGTTATGTATTTTTAAGGTGAATAAAAAATAGTTTTTTGAGATATTATAGTTTATAAAACTAACATTGAAAGAAATTAATTATAGAAGCAAATAATTTTTATTGAAGTAATTAAACAAAATATAAAAAATAATTGAAATCTAATAAGTTTATTTTTTTTTAATTCTGGCTCCGTTAGTTCTCAAACCTGGTACGTCTGCGTAACAAACTTGGGCGCGATAAGTTTCCGCTCATCGAGCAAACATTTTATCCAAACCATAAGGAGATGATGAGCAACTTGTGGGTGAGTTTTTGAATAGATGGATGGATAGGTGGATGGCTTGATAGATAGATGGATGGATGAATAGATGGATGAATATTAGTTGGTTGGATGTATGGATGAATGAAACATAGGTTAATGAATCAATGAATGAATGTATAGATGAAAATATAAATGTATCAGTTAATGAATGCATCATTGTGTTAGCCGGCTTTCTAACCAAAATTGCACTAATCCTTACTGAACAACCAATGGTGCAAAAACTTATAGCGAAAGACAAATTGATGACTGATGACTGAGAGCACCGAAAAAAAATTAATCAAACGACAAATGAAACTTCATAATTTTTAGATGAAAATTATTTTGGATCAAATGTTCATGAAGATATTCAATCATTTGTGTATCTATTTATCTACTCATTTATTCACCCATTCAACCATCCATTCATCTATCCACCCATTCATCTCATCTTATCCAACAATAATAATATTTACGATTATATTACAAAAATTATTTGTAATATTATGATGAAATGGAAGTTGAATAAAATTTTCTAATAAACAAATGAATGGAAAGCATAGTACTCTGGCAAAAACATTGATTCGGGAATGCTTGTAAATAATAAATTAAATTTCAGTGCAGAGAGAGAGAAAGGGAGAGCGATAAAAAGAAAAAAAAGAAAGAAAGAGAAGGAAGAGGAAGAAAAAATTAAAATAAACTGAGACCAAAACATTAGATTGAAAAGTATTGTCATGATGTTTACCATTAAGCTGCTCTTGTGCACGTTTGCGAGTTTATGTGTGAGTGTGTGTGTCTGTTTTTGTGTGTATGTGTGTGTGTGCGTTTGTGCGTGTGCGTACGTGCGTTTATGTATGCCTGTACGTGATGGTACTCTTAATTTGCACGAAAAATAGCTTCTCCCTTTGTGCTTACTTTGAAAAGATGAACGACGTACATAAAATTCTTTCAAGGAATCATGCAAATGCATGCATCTATTCCAGTCATTCTCATTTTTGGCCCATGTTTACATTTTAAAATGCTAACAACTATATTCAATAATAAATAAATGTTAAATAGATAACTGGATAAATAAATAAATAAGTGAATAAATAAAAAATAAATAATTATATCATCTTATATCAAATAGTTAAAATCTCTTTTTCAGCAATTCAATTAACACAGCTATGAAAGACGTATCCATTTAAATTCGTCCAAAATGATTTTAGCACCTCTCGGGTTAGATTAATTAACATAAAATATTCAGGCAGTTCATCATAATCTTGCATTATGTTGCGCACGCACACACGTACACACACACTCGTAAACACACACACACGTACATAGATTCATACATATACTCAGTCGCGCAATAAATCACACAAGCATATATACACACGTAGAAATACACATACACATTCATACACACGTATGCCTGTATATACATACATATGTATATACAGGCATACACAAACATACACACACACACATGCATACAAAATATTCATATCAGGGTGCAATCATATTAATAGAGATATAAGTAGTTGCTAGGCAAATAAACCAACCAACTAGCAAACACTCATCCGTTTAGACACATCCTCAAGTGAGTAAGAGAGTGAGTGAATATGAGAGTGAGTGAGAAAGCGAATGAGTGGATATATATTAAAATAGAAGGATGGATACATACCCAGAAGTCTATGATAATATGCCGATGTTTACCGTTATGTCATTATAACATGTATGTGTGTGTGTATCTATTTGTTGATATGTCTGTGTGTGTGTGTGCGTGCATGCGTGTGTGTGCGTGTGTGTGTAAGGATAGTTGCGTATGTAACTGCAAAATATTGTTTAATTCTTTTATTTGTTCATCCTTTCATTCATTGGTTTCATAGTTGTTTGTCTATTTTTGCTTCGTTTTACGGTTCGTTCAAACAATCATTTTTTTGGCATTCCTTCGTTATTCCCACAGTGAAACGATGCTTTGAACACACGCTTCCATCTATAAATGTTTGCCTGTACATGTGCGTGCGTGTGCGTGTGTGTGTTTACGTGTACGTCCGTGTGTGTGGAGGTGTGGGGGTGTGTGCGTGCGTGTATGCATGTAATTATAATTTGCCTTGGAAAAATTGCAGTGTTAGAAGCGCTATCGATTTGGTACTTGTACGGCCGAAATTAAAAGGAATGGAAAGAGAAGCTGTTTGATGGATGTGGATGCTTGAGTGAATGAGTGAGTGAATGAATGAATGAATGAATGAATGAATGAACGAACGAACGAACGAATGAATGAATGAATGAATGAAGTGAATGAATAAATATCAAAAAACATAAAAATCAATAAATAACATTTGTCTAAATTAAAATTAATTACAGTTAAAAATAACAGAAAAACCTTAATAGCAGTAAAGATGATTTATATGATGCGAAACCATAGTAACGAACGTTTTGACCTTTTGAACTTTCAACATGCTCTGACGTCACTACGGACAGATTGATACCTGCGTATTTTTAATGAACGAAATCCACAAAAAATACCTCACAAAGTCATACCGCACGTGCAAATGCAGACTGTTTTGTACGTATTTCATCATCAACAATGAACATTTTTAATAGTCTGTCTTTTTATTTTGTCATATAACCAAAATACTTAACATGATCAGGCATCATCACACATCTGCAATTGTGATACTGAAGGCTAACTTTGCAGTTGAAGCCGGTTGTCCTTAGCTGCCAGTTTGAACGGCACTTCTACAATTTGAGCTCGTACGTTATTATAGTACATTATATTGAGAGACACACGTTGAAAAACATTTGTGCAGCTAAATTGTAATAAAAAGTTCATTAATAAATTTTTTTAACGAATAAAAATGAATTCTTAATTAAAATCGTAAACTTTAAATTCCTTAAATAAAATTAAAAACAATTTCAATAAATTGTTGAAACATTCTCTTGTTTTTAAATAAACATCCTGTAAGCTTTCATTTGAAAAAGGCCATCATCATCATCGTCGTCACCGTTGTAGTCATAATCACAATCATAATCGTACTCACCATCATCTGTGCTGACGTCATCATCATCATCATCATCATTATCACCTCCAGTAACATCATGATTGTAATGTATTGTACTGTATTGTATTGTCTAACTTTACAGTGTTGTATTGTATCTTTCTGTATTATATCACATAGAGTGTTATTGTGTTGTATTGTATCTTAATGCGATTTTATTGCATAGAGTTGTATTGTAGTATGTATGTGCGCGTGTGTGTGCGTGTGTGTGTGTGTGGTGGGATATGAATAATTTGATAGCGGCCTCTTATGAGAATACTTTTCTTGGAGGGCTTCTTGAATTGCGATGGATTGACAAAGATTCTCAGTAATGTAGGTGCATTTTTTGTATCCATGCAATGCACGTTCTTGGGTGCATTCTAGTTTTTTTCTGGGATGAATTGGGATGAATTAAGGATAAATTTTGGATGAATTTGACATGAGTTTTGGTGAAATTGGAGTGCTTTTGGTATGATTTTGGATGTAAATAAACTGAATTTGAATATAAAAAAAATCATTTTAAAGAAACTCATAAACCTTACGACATGTACTTGAAATCATCTTGGAAAGAAAAAATATTAAAATGCTCATGTTCATCATTCTTCTGATTTTTGATGTTTTTGTGTTTTTTTTTCTACAATTTCGAAAAAATTGTTCAGCCAAACTTGAAAATTCTTCCATGCGTCGTTTCGAATAAAAAAAATTTCATTTTAAAACGATGGTGCGTAACATCGAGGCGTTCAAGCTTATGAAATTAAATAATATAATTACATTTCATAATAAATATAAATAATTATGAAAACGTAAAATAAATTATTAAATAAATTATATATTTTTATAAATTATAAATAATATGATAAAATGTGGTGATTCGATAGATGTAACGTAAAAATAAAGGATTGTTCGCATAATTTATCGGTTCATGTGCGTGTATGTGTGCGTGTATGTATCTGTACATGAATGTACCCGTGTATCTATGTCTGAGTGTGTGTAATGTAAATGGGTGTGTTTCCAGGTGTGTATATATGAATGTGTGTGTGTTTGTGTGTGTGTGTGGCAACCGTGTGTGTGTGTGTGTGGCAACCGTGTGTGTGTGTGTTTATGTGTGTGTGTGTGGCAACTGTGAGTGTGCGTATGTGTGGCAATCAGCAACCATCGACACAACATACTCGAGAAATATTTTAAGATATATTGACCATATGCAGAGAAATCGCAATAATATTCTTTTCAATTTCCGGATTCTTTCATTGGTTTCTGTCTTTCGTTATTTATACACACACACAAAATACACACACACACAATACACATAAACACACACAAACACATATAAGCACACACACACACACATACACAATACACATAAACACACACGCACACACACATACATAAATACATACAAACAAACATATTGCTTGCTATCATTAAGTGTTTAAGAGTTTCTATTTAATTTTTTGACCCAAAAAAACTTGGTATTTCTTGGTATTTCCGCATTTCTGCTGTGTATTTTTGCTGACACTTTAATGTTAGCAATTGTATTTTTTTAAATACTTTCTTTTCTATTTGCCTCCATTCGTTTGTTTAATTGTCATGATGATGAGGATGTGTAGAAAATGAGATGTTGATGTCATGATGTTAGGATATCATGACGTCGTGATGTCATAATGTTATGATATCGTGACGTCATAATGTTGGGATATCATGATATCGTAATGTCATAATGTTAGGATACCGTGATGTCGTGATGTGATATCATAATGTCTTGATGTCACGACGCCATGATATGATAATGTGACAAGGTCGTGAGGTGATGATGTCATAATGTGATGTGATGATGTCATAATTTCATGACGTCATAATGTCACGGAGTGCTGGAAGTATGTACTGCCTTTTTTTTCTCATGCACTTAAAATTTCTTCCGCTGCACATTAATCTACTACTGCTGACTCTCAATTAGTTTTCAGTTCTAAAGTTAGTAGAATAATAACAACATGTATGTGTTTGTTTGTTCGTTTGTGTGTGTGTGTGTGTGTGTGTGTGGTGTGTGTGTGTGTGTGTGGCGTGTGTGAATGAACAAACGAACCGAACGAACGAACGAACGAATGAACAAATGAATGAACGTTTGAATGGATAAAAAATAATTCAATAACACCTTCTCCATTAAAAATCCCAACAACGTTCAGC